TTTTTCCGAAATATTTTGGTGGACGTCTTAAAATATAATAAATTTTATAATTCCAATGGAAAAATAGTACCGATTTTTTTTTGTAGTCTAATGTACATATGTTTGTGTATGTACATATGTTTGTGTGCATGTATATATGCACATATGTAGCACAAACGAAAACAAATCTAATAAGCTGCTCGTTGATATAAATGCGAACTGTACTGATTGTCAAAAATTATGTGTTTGTTGTACATTTGTTCATGTTTGTCTTTGTGCGTGTAATTTTCTAGAGTAGTTTTGTGCTCTCGCTATCTCCTTGTATTAACTCGTCCTTCGTTGGTATACTCTGATGAACATATATGAAGATGATAGCAAGGCCAACTTATATAAGGTAGTGTTACAGGAGCAGTTGAAATTTTCGTTCGATGTTTCTTAAAGAAAGCCATAAACGTAGCGACCGTTGGTTCAACTTGGTGTTGTTTTGCTCTAGATTGCACCGTTTGTGCGCCTGTTGAATGAATTTATGTCTTGGTTGTATGAAAGATCAAAAAATTTGGATTTTCTGGCAAGTTGCACAACTTATCGCTACATTAATGGCCATGTTGTACAAACTCATTTAATTTGCGTTTATTTTGTACACTAAATAACCGAAAATGGATAACTCAGCCGAAATAGGTACGTGCTTTCTTTGAATTTTATAAATGTAAGCCGAAACTATGAAATAGTAAAAATGAGATTTTACAATGATATTGCTAATGAATTTGAATGAATTGAAAATGGGCTAAATCGGACAATACCACGCCTACCTCCCATATAACAGTAGTTTTCAGAAATACAAAAACTGCGATATTTTAGTAACTGCTGATGATTATTCACTCAAAATTGATATTTACAATGATTTTTAGACGAAAAATAAGAATATTATAAATTTGTGGAAAATGGGCGTAGCCACGCCCACTTATTATAACATGTGGACATCTTGGAAACCGCTCCACCAATTTCTCCCAAGCTTTGCACAGTTGTTGGCCTTGGTACAACATACCAAATAGCTGAAAATTTTTAAAATCCGACAGTAACCACGCCCACATCCCATATAACGGTAATTTAGAGAAATACGAAATCTTCGATAAATCAGTAAATACTAAAGCTAATTTATTGAAAATTTATGCTTGCAATAATTCTTTACCAAGAAATACGCTTTTGATAAAATTTTGGAAAATGGGCGTGGCACCGCCCACTTATGACACATATACATATGTGTTTCTCGGTAATCGTTCTTCCAATTGGTATGGTTATTGTGCTTGCCACATAAAAGCAAATCGTTGAAAATGATTTAAATCGGGCTAAAATTACTGCCACTTTTCATATAACGGTAAATTTCTGACCAGCTTGAAACTTCGATATTTCGAAATTTAAGGACACTAATTTACTCAAAATTGATAGTTGCGATCCCGTACGAGTCCGGACTAGTCAGAAATAGTCAAAATCAGTCAGATTTTACAGGAAATCGATCCCGTACTCGGTTCTCTGACTATTGAGAGGACAAAAAAGAGAGTAAATACGGTTCTCTCTCTGTCAGAAGTTACCAGTTTTAATCCGAGAATTTTTTGCTTGTAAATTCTGGTAAATGTGTCAAACGATCAGCTGTGGTGTGTTTGGCAACCAAATTGTAAACAAAAGAAAAGTGCACTCTGCTAATTCATGTTGAAAAGTATTTAATTACTTGTTTAAGTGGATTCTAATGAATTTGAAAGTATTTTTGGTTATTTACATGTGTGAGCTGAGTGTGTTTACATACAAAATAAGCAAAAATTTACAACCAAAATTTGGAGGTTATGTTGAAGTTGACAGAAGTTACCATTTTTTACTAGAAAGCGATCCCGTACTTTTCAATGTTACTCTCTCGCTCTGAGCGAATTTTTATTTTTTGACAGTTTTACTAGTCCGAGTCCGAGGAATACGGGATTGCACCTAATATTAAGAATAAATAAAATAAAAAACTTTTTAATATACCACGCTTTTATAAATGGACTAAAAAGTGGAAAATAATACTTCTCAGTCCCATAGAAATTTTGGCAAAAGTCATTATAAACAATTTATGAGATTGAAAACGAAAAACATGGAGCGCATGCAATACAAAGCATAAGATTTAATTGACAATAGTCAAACTAGATAACATAGACCTAAAATTTCTACAGCGAAAGTAAACGTTTCAGATCGATATCAAGTGGTCGTTAATCATATACCCACACACATATGTACCTATATTACTTTTCATATCACTTCAAGTCTACACATTACATGCGCCCCAGGCTTTTCATTTTCAATCTGATAAATTGTTTATAATGACTTTTGCTAAAATTTCTATGGGACTGAGAAATATTATTTTATACTTTTTAGTCCATTTATAAAAGCGTGGTATATTAAAAAGCTTTTTTTTTTTAATTTTATTTATTTTCTACTTTTTAGTCTTGTCTGTTTTAAAATAATTCAACGATATTAATAGATTGGTGCACACACATGCATATACTATGTACATACATACGAGCACCAATTGATTTCATTTAAAGAAATAGCGTGTCGTCCATTTCCGCTGTAGCGTATGTAGTGCATATTTTTAGGCGCAATATTTAACTACTTCTAGAGTTTGATGTATTTTGATATGATACGAGGTTGATGTGTAGACTTTTAAAGGATCTTTGCAAAGCAAAGGTTTTATAGATATAACTTGTGTCTGGACACACAACATTGCAAGTTGATAAAAGCGTTGTAACAGTCCCTTAAAAAGAAGTAACATTATTTGAAATTTTGGAAAATGGGCGTGATACCGCCTACATATGACTTTATAAGTTTATCTCATTATGTATAACTGAACGTTCTATCGAAGATGTTTAAAATAGGGGTGGTAGTTTTACCATGTAACGCTAGTATTCGGAAAGGTGAAAAACATATATTTAATACTTGCGCCAGGTATTTAATGTTTGGATCCGCCCGAACTTAGACTTTCTTACTTGTTTCCCTTAATTTAATAAAATACTTCTTCCTAAGTACGACTTAATTGCAGCTGAAGCCGAACCTATATTTTAAGTTGGTACTTAGCCAGAAAAGTCGAAACTAAGGCGACTATGAATAGCTTTAGTTGTAACTTAGGATAGTTTCGACTTAGTTGTGAACTAAATATGACTATGAATATGCGCCAATATGTTTAAAGACAATTTTATAAAAGTTGATAAATCTGAATTTTGATCGGTTTTATTATACAAATACTCCTGTGAGTAGCGTAAAGTTCTCGAGGGCTTACATTCAATACCCTCTATCTGCAATTTTCAGAAAAACTCGTTTGTGATGTTGAAACCCATCTGGGACTTAACTGTAATTACTGATATAAACTCCTATGCTGGATTTCCACTAGGCATTAAATGGCAAAAGGGACAAATGACAAAGTTGGGCATTAAAAAACAATCGTGTCATTACGTTGAAAAACAGTCATTAAGTTCATTTCCACATTACAATTTTTTAAATGGCATACATTTTTTGCCATTTCAATGCCTACTGGAAATTCGACATTACTTTGCAATCCAATAGTAAATTCTACCAACAAGCTATTTATAAGGTTAGCATTAACAGCATCCATGCCACTTAATTCTTAAGTGGATATTTATATCAGAAGCCGAATCTTGTGAAAATTGAATATATGCCCTCGTTATGTTCTAAAATACTCGCATTTTTTATCGAAGAAAATGCACAACTTCGAACTTGTATGATACTGGAATTAAATTGGTTATAAAATTGCATGCCCAAAACTTTTCTAAAAAATCTCTTAAAAAATTTTCCATTTGGATAGCAGATTTTTGAAATTGGTTGAATTTTCGCGAAAATCGCATTTACTGAAAAATTTTACATGGCAAGTAACGATTCAGCATGATTCGTTTATGAATTTTGAATGAGCCGTAAATTACGATAATGTGAACATTAGGGTGGTCCTTAAAAGATCAAATGAGCGATTTTTTTCAGTCTCACCAACACGGTCACAGATATCACTTACAAATTTTGGTCCCGATGGGAGACGGTTAAGGCGTTTCGCACAGGTGCCAAAGTTCAGATTATTCTATAGAGACTCAAAAAATTAAAATTAATTTTTTTCCCAACTCATACCCAAAATCGATACTACCGTAGTGGAAGATATGACATATAAATTTTGGTCCCGATTGGAGTATTTTAAGGCGTCCCGCAATGGGGTCCAGGGCCAGATGCTCCATGGAGACTCCAAAAATTAAAAATATATTTTTCATTTAATACCCAGAATCGATACTACTTAAGTCGAAGATATCGCATACAAATTTTGGTTCCGATTGGAGTCGGTTAAGACGTCTTCATAGAGTAACCTGAATTTTTACCCCTGTGCGACACGCCTTAACCGTCTCCAATCGGGACCAAAATTTATATGTGATTGCTTCGACTATAGTAGCATCGACGTAGGGGTTGAGGCTTAGGAAATCTGATATAAAAATTTGCTTCCTACATTTAACTCTTTAAACGCTAGTGTTACATATATGTAACGCTCGAATTTCGCGGACTAATATTGTTGTTATGAAAATTTTTATTACATAAAGATTCACGAGTTTTACATATATTTTTCAGGTCCTATAGACACCCCTTGATATAGGTCGAAACTTTTTATTATGGCTTTTTTACATATCCTCTCTTTTAGTATCCTCCAAAATTTGGTTCCTCTAAATTTCCTCTTTTGCTTTCGCGTTTAATGACCACCCTAGTGAACATGCTTTATAAAATGTGTTTTCTGTTCAACATTTTAAAATTGCTAATACGGAAACCCCGAACATTACACAGTTTAAAAAAATCATGTTACTTTTTTCTTTGTGTAGTTAATTTAACCTTATTTGACAAGTTGACCCGGTTCCGCCCCCAACCAAAAGTCTGTATTCGCCACTGCCCATAATACCATGTTACAACTCAACTATTTTCAAAGTTGTGAATGAAATCCTCTCTCTCTAAAGGGTATAGGATCAAAAATAATGGCAAAAATGGGCTATATCCATGGGAAAGGATTAGGTTCAGATGGAGATGGCATTATCATCCCCGTGACAGCGAAAATTTTGCCGCAAGGATGCTCTCTCGATCGCTGTATGGAGTTGCGTGAAGCAGCTAACGGTGATAAGGATTTCTTTAGTGTAGAGAAAAAAGTGCGACTTCAAAAGAAAAGGCAAGTCAATTACAATACAAAGGCGTATGAGCGCGAGGCTCAACGAAAAGATGTATTCACATTCATAAACGATAAGATATTGCGAGGAGGTTTTGATCTGAAAGACACACAGAAAAAAACCTCTCTAAGCAGCGAGACCACAAAATCTTTGAATGTGGCCAGCGTGCGTATTGCTGATGATATACGACGGAAGGAGAGGGAAATTACAAAGTTACGACAATCAATGAGTAGAAATACCAGCAGCTCAGACCTTCACAAACGATCAAAACAGCAATTGAAAATAAAAATGCAGGAATTGACAGCTTTACGAAAAGAGGAAACTAACCTTTCCCAAGAGCAAGCATCAAGAAAAACAAAAGATAAACTATGTGTATTTTAGTCATATATGTAATACAGTAATACTTCTATAGCGGCTGTACGTTGAAAGCACATCCGCCAACATTAGAGGTCAGATATATAATGTTATACCGAGAAAAGCAACCAGCCAATGTACTCAGAATGACGTTTTAAAACAATAAAAAATCAGGAGCGGTGCAGTAACCGTCAATATTTTACAAAATTAAATTTTAATTTTAAAAGCAAAAAAAATAAAAAATGGTGCCGAGCTGTGCTGTTTGTAGAAGCAAAAAAGTAAGGAAAATGAAATCGTATTGCATGCGTCACTATGTTGTACTACTTGAACAGCTGTCCCTATCTACTATCTATCTACAGGCCCAGGGGGCCACCAAGGCTACCAATCCTGAGTCGGTTGCAGCCTCAATTAGAAGAAGAGTCTACGGCTCTCGAGGTCTTACCAGAGACTTAAACTTGGTACCACGGGGAGTAGGGGCCCCCATGGTATACTGTATTTACTATGGCCTACTCTTGGTTGTGGCCCCTCGGGAGTAACTTGGTTTTGTGGTTTAATACCTAAATGCGGGTAGAACCGGTAATGGTTCAATGTGGAGTTGCATTGCAACCGGATGCCGAAATCCAGAGAACGGCAGAGGCCTCGAACCCTACCAAGGTGGTTAATGTATCCAATCCACATCGCCTTTTGGTACCGAAAGTGTTTGCATTTCTTCGAGGTGCTTGCATTTCGGTGAAGTGCTTGCATTTCGGGGCGCTCATCATCGCATTGAGTTGATACATTGTGCTTGTCGGGCACACGTGGGGTTAGTTTATTTTAAACAACAGGTATCCACGTTAAACCCTCACGCATCTGTCCCTACCTACTGGCCCCGCGGTCACCGCGTAAGCGGAGGTACGGGTGTGACAACCCCGGGCACCCCAGTCAAAGGCTACCAGTCCCGAGTCGGTGAAGGCTCAACTGGTAGAAGTGTCTACGACTTTCGAAAGCAGGTTTGCGTGACTTCAAATCCTTTCTAATTTAAAATCCGCTTTTAATTAACAAATATATTTGATTTGTTTACCAAATAACAAATAAATTTCAAATCCTTTCTGATTTAAAATCCACTTTTCATTAACAAATATATAAGATTTGTGATTTGGTTTGTTGACCAAATAAAAATAAAATTTATTTGTGATTTGATTTGTCAACCAAATAAGCAATACATTTTATTCGTGATTTGCTTGGTCAACCAATTAAAAGATAAGTTTTATTTGAGATTTCCTTGGTCAACCAAATAAAAGATAAGTTTTATTTGTTATTTGATTTGTCAACCAAATAAGAAATCAAAGTTATTTGTGCTTCAAATCGCCCTCCAAATTAGAAATCAAATTTATTTGTGATTTGATTTGTAGAGCGAATCATTTGATTTGTGATTTTTCAACGAAATAATACTCTTTTATGCAACGCAACTACTTCGGGATTTTTGGGACTAATTCGGAATTTTTGGGACTATTTCGGGTTTTTTGAGACTACTTCGAGATTTTTGGGGCTCTCGGGATCTTCGAGATTTTTGGGAACAATTCAGAATTTTCGCGACTATTTCGGGTTTTTCGCGACCAATTCGAGATTTTCGGGGTTCTCGGGAATATATCGCGATTTTCGAGATTTCGGAATTTTCGAGATTTATTCGGGATTTTCGGGACTATTACGGGTTTTTCGAGACTACTTCGAGATTTTCGGGGCTCTCGGGACCATATCGGGATTTTTGGGACCAATTCGGAATTTTTCTACTGTTTCGAGATTTTTGGGACCAATTCGGAATTTTTCTACTACTTCGAGATTTTTGGGACCAATTCGGAATTTTTCTACTGCTTCGAGAATATCGGGGTTCTCGGGAATATATTCGTGATTTTTGGACAATTTCGGGATTTTCGGAATATTTTCGGGATTTTCGGGTCTATTTCGAGTTTTTCGAGACTACTTCGAGATTTTTGGGTTTATCGGGACCATATTGTGATCTTTGGGACAACTTCGAGATTTTTGAGACCAATTCGAACGCCTCGGGACTATTTCGAGCTTTTCGAGACTATTTCCAGATTTTCGGGGTTCTTAGCGAGTCGGGTGAGTCTGGCAGGTGGAGCTGGTCTGGCTGGCGAGCATTACTCCGGCCTGTTAATGGTGCGGCCCTCGGAGAGTAACGTGGTGGCTGTGGGTTACCACCCAAATGCGAGTAGAGCCCGCAAGGGTTCAATGTGGAGTTGCATTGCAACCGGATGTCAAGATTTAGAGAGCGTCAGAGGTTTAGGTAGTCCTCGGCCCTAGCAAGGTGGTAAGTGTGTCCACCACACACTGTACTGAAGTGCTGCATTTCAAGGTAAGAACGAATCCGTTGTGCTAAGTGCGGGCACCGTGATCCTAAGCCTTGCTGGCAGAGAATCATAATAAACCTACACACAGCTGTCACTATTTACTCGCTTCAGTTGGGGCGATCGCAGCGTAGGGACGAGTTACGGAAGGATTTTAGTTGTGATTATTGGCGTTTTTCTTTTCGGTAGTATTTGTTTACTAGTTGGTGCGCGGTGCCGTTAGTGGGTAATTGGTAAACAAGTTGTTTATCAATTTTGTGTATAAGTGCCGCTACTTTGGAGCGTGGGTTGTGCTTGGTAGATATTGACCACGGTACTTTTTACAAATTACAAACAGCTAGCACCTGGTGATTGTCCTAATGCCAAAGTGAAGTGACTTGTGGACCACTTGGGTTACAGGTGGGCCAGTTGGTAACCACTTTGGGACCACTTGGCCTTTTTTTGGCTCCAGTGGCTGTTTCGGGCGTGTTTTGGACGCTATAAGTGCCGTGTTTTCTGTTTTCGGTTATGGTTGGGTTTTTCGGGGCTGAAAACGGTTGATTTCGGGATTTTCGCGATTTCGGTGGATTTCCGGCGTTTTCTTTGCTCTAGTGGTCGTTTTGAAGGGTTTTAAGGCCTTTTAAGGTGTTTTTTTTCCTATTTTGGACGCTGTGAGTGCCCCATTGTCGGGTTTTCGGACGCGTGATGACAAGAAGGTGCGTTTTGCGTTTTTTGGGAGCTTCGGGTCGTGATTCTACGGGTGTCGCTGCACTTATAAAGATACCAAGGGTAAAAGTACAGAGATACGTAGTAGGCGATGTTAAGTCGTTGAAGGTGATCACCTATACATTTAGCGGGTTCGTTCTCTGGAAGGAGAGTCCGGATGGGACAACTAATGTTGTGTTGGAGGGTACGGACAACAGGGGGGTGTTACATCAAATGCCTGGAGGAGATGCTGACGCCCTGCTGCTTCAGATGTATGGTCTTCGACCATCGAGTGGCTGAGTGCAAAGCTAAGAGGAATGTTTGTCGGAGGTGTGGACAGGAAAGGCACCGTGAGGCAGGTTGAGGTAATGCTCCGGAGGTGTAGAACTACCGGGGCGGATAATCTGTCCCAGCTTAGGTGTCAGTATGCTAGTCAGAACGAAGGAGGAGGACTGGTTGAGATTTGTAGGGGAAATAGAGACGATTCTTGGGGACAGGTTTACAAGATCTCTACGTTGTCAGCGTGGGGGGAGTGTGCAGGGCTCTGTTAGGAACGTTCTTTCCGAGGGCGGAGGTGCAGGTACCTTCTGCACAGGAGGTGCCTGTACCCACACTAGATGATGAGGAGCTGGGGTATGCGTTTGGCCTGGTGAGGTCTAAAAGGTCTCCAGGTTTTGATGGGTCGGTCGGAGAGATGTACAAATGCTTGTGAAGTTCATCCCGGAATACTTGGTGGTCATTTATGATAAGTGCATATGGGAGGGTTATTTTCCACGTGAGTGGAAAATTGCTAGGGTCGTTCCTCTCCTGAAGTCGCCTGATAGGATCAGGAGTAATCCTGCTTCTTATCGGGACATCAACCTCCTTCCAGTGCTTCGAGAGTTACCGCGGGATAGCATGTCGGATAGGCAGTATGGGTTTAGGAAAGGGTGTAGTATAGAGGATGCATGGTTGAATGTTCAGAGCTCAGTATATCCAGTAAAAAAACTGTTGTGAAGTCCTTTATGGGGATAAAGTTTTCAGAGATGAAATTTTAGGTAGCACACAATTTCTTATACGCATGGTTGCTTTTCAGCACTAATTAAAGAAACTTGAGAAATATTTAAAAAATGCATATTATTTTTTGAAAAAAAGTCTATATAATGTATCTACTATCAATAATAATTGAAGGGGTTAGAATCAAAAGGATCTAAGTAGGTCTGACATTGTTTTGAGATAATTAAGGTTAAAGGTGATTACTTATTGTGTAAATTCTGGGTAAATGCATTTGAAATGGCTCTTGCCTGGCCAATAGATGGACCTACAATGTCTTAAATGACTTGGATCTCTTTGTCACCAAATAAACACTAGGGCAATACATCTAAACGCGTAAATGACTCGTAACCATGTAAACCTCGCAAACTTAATTTTGTATGGAAAAGCGGTTTATTTACGAGGTTTACGCGGTTACGAGTCATTTACGCGTTTACATGAATACCCATAAAATATTTTTTTTCCCTTTGGTCTTCAACACGCTACCCGCGTGTTCAGAAAATATATTATTTATAATGGGTTTTTATACAATGTTCGTTTACAGATATGAAGCTATTGATACATGTACAAAAATCATCAGAATACTGCTTATTACATTTCTTTAAAATTGTTGTACAAAAATAATATGGCCTGCTAATGGATACAGGCAATTGTGGTCATAAGATCTAATTGTATTGTACCTAAATGAACAAATTTATGCGTTAAACTCTTTTAAAGTGCTGATAATAAATATTATGAATTTCTTAAAGGATTCAGTGAGTTGTTTGTGAGCGCTGATCGCAACCATGTTGAATGCTGGAATTTGATGATGTTCGCACAGTAGATTGTGACTCCGTCTTTCTCTCGCATAACGTGGACAGTCGTGTAGTAGGTGATCCAAGGTTTGTGATGTTTCACCATCACATGGACAGCAATCTTGGTCTGTTATGTTAAATCGTTTAAGGTACTGTTTGTGATAGCCATGCCCATGTAAGAATTTGAGTTAACTCGAAGGAAATTCCAAAGGCGTCCGCGTAAATTTTTGCCTCACTCGGTGATTTGAAGATTTTCGTTGTTTTGCCGGTATTTGCCTCTTCGTATCCTTCTGCCATTTAGCTTCAGTTTGTAAACGAATTTCACGTTTCGCATAGCTCAGCGGGAACTGCGAGTATGTGGCGTCTACGGTCAAGGTTGACGCTTGTTTAGCATAATTGTCAGCAGCCTCGTTGCCTTCTATTCCTACATGTGCTGTAATCTAGAAAAACTCAAGGACTAAGTGTTGCCTAAGGTGGTATAGACGGTTGTGAATCGAAGAGATGAGCGGCATGTCATTACTTCTATTTTTGATCGCTTCGAGACATGATTTACTGTCAAAAAATACTTGAAGGGTTTTGCTGGTCATATTGAATTCAGCCCACTCTAAGGCGCGATCGATAGCTAGTGCCTCTGCTTGAAAAACTGTACACGTATCGTGGAGTTTGAACATAAAGTTTTCCTAGCGGTTCATTTGTCTGCTTATGACAAACGCGGCCCCGCATTCACTTGTTTCCTCTTTGCTTCCGTCAGTATATATTTGAATACAGTCGAAGGTGTCTAGTGAGTTTAGTCCTTCTTGAGTATTCACGGTTCTGTATGTAATTGTTTGACGATCGGCTGAATGTATTTGCTGATGTTGTTGTACACGACTTTGGAGACTCGTGTCACTGGTATGCTCGAGAGTGCCCGTTCTCTTCACCTCATCTAATTTCATACATTCCGATATCTTTAAATGTAAAGGTATGAATCCAGAAAGGGCTAGTGCTGACGTGAGAGAAACGGTGTGAAAAGCTCTGCTGGCGCGTATAGCAAATGTTCTCTGAAACGTTTGAAAAAGTCGGCGTATGTAGTAAAACTGGGTGGCTTTACCCCACATCGCGGCAGCGTAAGTAATGGTAGGTTCCACCACTTGCTTGTAGATGGTTATTACATTTTCGGGGTGTACACCCCATGTTGTCTCACGAACCTGCTTAAATTTGTGAACATACGTTGGGCTTTTGTCAACACATATCGGGCGTGTTAAACGAACTTCAGGCGCTTGTCGATGATAACACCAAAAAGCTTACTGTCATCCACAAAGCTTAAACGAACACCGTTCATCTCGATTTTAGCCTTATTTGACTTTTCTGTGAACGATATGATTTGCGTTTTATCCTCTCCAAACACTAATTTTTCTCCCATTCCCCATTGATGTATAATACTAAGTGCTGTATTAACACTCGTTTCGAGATCTTTAACAGATTCTGTGCTCACGGTGAGAAGAACATCGTCGGCGAAAGCTTGTATAACGCAGCCGCTAGGCAGGGGCAGGTTAAGTAACTCATCCAGAATAGTATTCCGGAAGGTCGGGCGACATACCGAACCTTGTACGCAGCCTTTGGTCATTTTCTTTGTCGCCGTTACGTCTGCAAAATTGATCCTGACGGTTCTCTCGTTAAGGTAACTCCGAATGAGGTTGTAAATATTCGAGGGAATTCGGTACCTTGCCAGCTGATTTAGGAGTGCCGGCCACCAAGCGTTGTCAAATGCCGCCTTTATATCTAAAGATACACACATGACTTTTCTCTTTCGTACTTTTTCACGCTCTATATGCTTTACAGCATTGTAAGGAGCGTCAACTGTTGATGTTTGCTCCCGGAAGCCGTACTGGTTTCTCGACATTAGTCCGTTCGTTGCAAAATGGTACGTTAGACGTTTTGTAAAAATTTTCTCCAAGGTTTTTCCTAATATAGGAAGAAGTCCGATTGGTCTGCAGGAGGACAAGCTACTATCATCTTTTTTACCCGCCTTTGGAAGAATTTTTACATGTGCTTGCTTCCACTCCTTAGGGAAATATCCAATCTTGAGGCATGCGTTATAAGTTGAAGTTAAAAATTTTAGATTTTGCTTAGCGAAGGCAATACATATGTCGGAGGTGAAGTGCTCTATCTCATCGTGGTCAAAGCCTCCAAAATTTCTTCTTCGGTAAACTCTATCATTCGGTGTATCAAGAGTTTGTTTGGTGTTCTGTCGAACCCATGCGTGGTGAACGGTACTATCGCCACTGTCATCGGGGTAAAAATGACGGAGTAGTGCGTCAGCTGTCTCCATACTCGATTGAGTATATGAGCCCTCTTTTTGGAGAGTTGTTGGTGGTCGGTGGGCTGGAGCATCTTTAATGAGCCTATTTGTTAGGGACCAAACATCTTCTTTTTCTTGTTTGTTGCAAGCCTTGGGGCTTGTGCATATACCTTTTTAGCAGCGGCGTGTTCGTTTGCAATTATATCGACCGGCTTGTTCGCTTTGGCTAGACTATTCATCTTGTGATGAAGTTTGATGCACTTATTCTTAAGCGTTTGTAGTTCATCATTCCACCAAGGATTGTATGTTTTTCCAGCTTTCCGCTTTCTCATAGAAATATGGCAGGCATTTGTGATTGCCTTCACGACTTTCTCAATTACATTATCTAGACCATCTGGAGTAATGTTGTCAAAGTCTGTATTCAATACATCCAAACCATGAAGATGCTGCGTTAGGACTTCATCAAAGACATCCCATTTTGCAGATTTACTTCTGTATAAGTATGTAGATTGGCTTTTTGTTGCGGTAACCTTCTCATGCATTTTTATTTTAAAACAAATGGCGCTGTGGTCTGAGTTCTGGATAGCGTCAATGTTGACGTGCCAGTCGAGTACAGAGTTCGAGAGATTACATGAGGATAATGTAATATCCACAATTGAGCTAGCTCTGATTCCATGACGTATCGCGTTGAACGTAGGAGTGCAACCGTTATTACATTGGCTATGGCTCTGCCGTGAGCATTTTCAGAGTTTGAACCCCATAGCGAGTGCCACCCATTGAGATCTCCTCCTACTATTTGCATTGAAGGCGATGTTTTCGATAGAAGTGGTTAATTGCGGGAAACGTATCATATTGATCCGTGCCTGGTTCTACGTATGCGCTCGATACGAATACTTTTCGTTGTCCAATGTTAAGCTGTATGACACAGAAGTTTGGTGTGGAAAATTGTGAAACGCCAAGTACAGCTCCTACCGAGTGTTTCACAAAAATACATGCTTTGACCCTGCGATTTGGTAGTTCGAATTGGTGTACTGAAACCGAATTTATTGGATCAACTTTGTCCGTATTGCTTGTATAAGGCTCGGAAACCAGTGAGATATCGGAGAAGCTCGCGAGAAAGTATTTTATAAACTCATTGTGGGCAGTTTTACAACGGTGAACATTGGCTTGGATAAAATTTAGTGATTTAACAGCCATAATCAGTACGAGCGTTAATTCTTTGTTGCATAGACTTAATCTGTGGACAGGTTTTAATGCTGGTAGCAGAGTGTTTTTCATTTACGTTTCGTTCGTGTTTCCTTAGTCTTGCAGTTCCTGGTCCAGCAGTTAAAGCATTTTAGCTTCTCAGGTTGGTCTTTATTTGGACAGGTACTGGTTATTTTCGGCGCAGTGGGAGCAAAAAGTTGATGCTGAATTACATTTCCTTCTAGCATGGCCGAATTGAAGACACTTGTAGCATTGAGTAAGGTTACTAAAATCAGAGACATTTACTCGCATATACTCGATATTTAAGCGGCCAGAGCTCAACACTGCATTTCTCACTTTAGCTGTCACTTCGAGTACCGCATTATACATAATATCATTATTCCTTCGATTTTCCTTTTGGAAGCACAATTTTATATCTCCGTCTTCATTGATTTCTTTGCAGACAGTTGAGTTTTGCATTGCTATGGTTTCCACCAATTCATTTGGTTTGACGTCTTTAGGAATGCCTTTTACTATAACTAGTGGACGCTTACTCTTTGCGTTTTCTGCGCTGAGGTTCGTGACATTAGACAACTTGCGGAGCGTTATGTCGCGTTGGTCTGTGTCATCAAACTCGACACGCACTTTGTTGTTTGATACTTTAACCATTTTGGCTGGCGCGAAGTTTGTATCTTTAAAAGTTATTTCCGTTCGGAAGGCTTTAATTACGTCTTCGTGGCTTGCATTTGGGTCGGTAGTAGCGCTGAGAACAATGCTGGGCTTAGCACCTACTTCCTGCAATGCAGTTTGGTTTTTAACAACACCGGAGTAGCTTATGTTGGTTACCACGTGCCCAATCTTTGGCAAAGATGCTTCTTTAAGAAATGCTAGCTTTTCTCTAACCACTGACCTTAACGTCTCAATCGAATTTCTATCTCCCGCATCGGAATTAATATTTACTTTGAGGGCCTCAATCAAAGGGACAAGCGCCATTAGCTTCACTATTTCACCTGTAATTGCATTTTTCATTTCGCGCTTTATGTTTCCAGAGTCTCTAAGTTGTTTCCTTATTTCGCTTGAGATAGAGTTGATGCTATCAATAATTGCACCTGGAGAGCTCATGTTAATGTTTAGTCGATTCCAGTCAGCTGATTGTATACAGCTGACAGATCGACTTAGAGCTTTTTATTAAGTCTCCACAGACAGGCTTAACAGGGAGAGTTTGGTTTGTGTCCTTGCTAACAGCTTAAAGCTTTTATTTCTTCGCGTCAACAGCTGTGGTAAATCAGCTGTTTTACTGGAGTCTCATGTATTTGATTTTATTTGATAAATTTTGCATATTACCCAAAAGACGAAATTAAAGTTGATTTCTTTTGCACTCGATGGTACCCGGCTTTGGTGTACTGTACAGTCTGTGTTTCTTAATGACTTTTAAAGTAAATGTTTATGAATACTTTGAAAATTGATAAATTTCTAAGCACTTTTTACTTCACTTTTACACTCTACCAAAAATATTTAACTATACAAATATGGGTATAACTTACAGTCAGTCAATAAAGTTTAGGTACAGCGAATATTTTACAATACGGGCAACTATTTTTTAAATATTTTATTTTTCGCCAATTTTTCATAAAAATATGGTTAATTCTACAACAAAAACCCCAAGAATCAAAGTTCCAAAACTTGTGCAAAATTAAAGAAAAATCTGCAAGATTTCATTCAAATATTGCACTTTTTATTTACGCTCTCTAGAAAAAAGTTGAGTATGCAGTTCTTTAACCCATTCAATTTTAGTATAACAAAGTGAAAGTTTGAGGTAGCTAGGGCTTACCATTGATTTTTAGCAATTTTTTTTGTTGAAGGTGTCGCTCATTTTCTCCATATAAAATAATGTTTGATAATTTTTTGTTGTAGAATTAACCATATTTTTATAAAAAATTGGCGAAAAATAAAATATTTAAAAAATAGTTGCCCGTATTGTAAAAAATTCGCTGTTGCACAAGGTTTAAAACTTTGATTTTAGGGGTTTTTGTTGTAAAATTAACCATATTTTTATAAAAAATTAGCGAAAAATAAAATATTTAAAAAATAGTTGCCCGTATTGTAAAAAATTCGCTGTACCTAAACTTTATTGACTGACTGTATATTTTCAAAAAATGTCACAGACCAATATGATTCTAACCATTCAATTATAAAAAATGTACTAGAATCACCGTTTAATGTTATTTTTGATACAAATAAATATTGCTGCTTGGGCGCTCTGAGAATTGCCGCTGAATAATAATTTTACTTAGAAATGCATCCCTGGTCCTTGTTCGTGCTGTATTGCAAAGCGGTGAATTCACATTTCGCAGAAACTTCACAACAGAAAAAAATGAAGGAAAGTATTTTGTTTGCTAATTTTTGATATTTCTATTGTTTATTGTAAATTTATATCTTTTCAGGCTATGTTGAGGCAGCAAAGAAAGCACAGTTGGAGAATGAAGCTATTACTATGGAAGGTGTAGCGCAGGCTAATCAATTAAATGAAATTCTACTTAATATAAATGTTTTAAATGCTTTATACTCGAGTGGCATTATTTACGATGTGCTCCAAACATTTGGCGAACTTTCTGAAGATGCGCTAGTAAGAATGGCGGAGAAATACGCGATTTCGCTGGCACAGCTCTCATATTTGATGATGTAAAAGAAATATTTAAAACTAACTATTTGTTTTGGTTTTTCAGCTCATTAATGCTGCACCCAGGTTGCATTTACCGTCTATGAAAATATTTTAGGAAGCGTTCCCAATTTAGCTCCGAGCAACTAAAAGTTGGTTGGTTTAAGTGAAATAGTCCTTTATTAAATATTTATCCCTTTTATTTAGTAAAAACTAACAATTTTCAGAACAATATTAATGTATGAAATGAAGTAAATAAAAATCGACGAATACATATCTTGAATAGTTTGTCATAGTGCCATTATTAAATAAATACGTAAAGCATAGTTCACTCCAAATCGGTACGAATGAAATGGGTTATATCTTTTTAACAGGTTTTCAGAAAATAATATTTAATATATTAAAATAAGGCAAAAGTATTCCGTTATAGATACATTCAACAATTTTTATTCAGCTCGAGGCCGTTTTTAATGAAAAACTTATTGTGGAAAAGCAACAATAATTTGAAAAAATGGTAGAAGTGATAGCTAGTTCGATTTGATGTAATTAGGACACATTCGTAAATTGATGACTTCCAGAACTTTATTCACATCATTGGCTTCATACCGATTTAAAACTACTTGTGAATAATTAAGTTTTATTAAAACTAACCAAAACTTGACTGAAGGTCTAAAGTAAATGATACAATTGCTTAACACTTTGTGCAAGCGCTCCTTCCAGCATATTTCTGGGGTCATATGACCCATTGTGGAGTCTTATCGAGTTTTAATGAGACTGTCTGGATTCTCTCCTCATTGCATTTCCCTTTGACAACTGTGTCAACTTCTATAAATTTAGTCAATGTTATTGTGGCTTATTAACATTTCATTTTAATATTTTTATTAAGCTTTGTACCACGATTATTTTACCAGAAAATAATGGAAAACAGAAATAGAAATAGCGATAAAAAAATTAAGTAAAATATACTGTGCATGATTGTAAGTCATCATAAATGAATTCTCTCGATTTCTTTCGCCAGCGGCGATACGGACAATACGAAAAACTGGCTCAAATAATGGCAACCAAAACGGATATTGCGTGGGGTTTTCAAAGAGGAAGTCCAGGCGTTTTTGTTTTCATTATCTATAAATAAGCCTGAAATGCACTGAATACAATTTATTCTTTTTATATAAAATTAATAGATGTATGTCCATACATAAAATGTGGAAAAATATGTTTTTTATTGTACTCGTTTTTACTAACTTTTTAAAAACAGGTGCGTATGTTGTCTCGAATTCGATTTGCTATGGAAGGATTAGCTTCGTTCTTCCCTTTCTCCTGACAGCTTTTACATCGACTTCATTTGCGTTCAAATCTTCCACTCTGTAGTAAATGCAAATATTGTGGAGTGCTCAAACAACGTTTATAATTTCACTGGCTTTGAGCGGTGAGTAATGCAGTTCAAGAATAATGTTTACGATTCTTCACTCATCTGAAAAGGAGCAAACATGTCCCTAAATCTCCGCCTTTCAACTTCCGCATCAGCAATTTGGGACTCATTCTCCTCTTCAAGAAATAATGCCGCGGCTATGGATTTCAAAGTTAAACATTCTAATAGAAATATTAACAAAAACCAACAACCACATGATCAAGTGTGAATTGCAGCGGAATAGCTGCGCTTGATTGTAGTTGGTTTAACAAATGAAATAGTGGAAAAAGCAGCAAGAATTAACAAGGCGAACTTAGCACAGTGCGTAGGCAACTGGCTGAGTAAGTGGGATCGTCGGTTCGAATCCTACTAAAAGAAGTCTGATGAGGAAATGTGGTGATTTCCGAAATAGCTATCACTTCTACAATTTTTTAAAATTATTGTTGCTTTTCCACAATAAGTTTTTCATTAAAAACGGCCTCAAGCTCAATAAAAACTGTTGAATATAATTATTACAAGGCCATAAAATAACAAAAACCAATATTTTAAAATATTTACAAATTTTAACTTCATAAGCTGCTATAGTTTGGTGGCAAATATTTCTTTTGTTTTGTTTCGATTTCACCCATTCCTAGGCAACCAGCCGATTTCGAAGATGTTTTCGCTCTTACTCTCCTTTTGCTTCGATCGTAACTCAGAATACCAAATTACGATTGTTGCGGAGTAGAATGCGGGAACGTAATCGAAATGCAGAATAGGCTGATTATTCAGCCCTATTCTGCATTTCCACTCGAATCGAAATTTTCTCCGTTTGGTAACTTTGGTATTCTGCGTTCCGTTTCCTTTCGATCAATCTTCGAAACTCACGATTCTACATTTCGATCGTAGTTCCGTTTTTCTAAGTTGCAAATTTGTTGACGGAGAACGTTTCGATTGTTATTTTCGTGGGTTTAAATAATAAAAGTTTATAAAAAAAATTAAGTAAAATTATGCACAGTATATGATTGTAAGTCATTATAAATGAATTTTCCCGATTTCTGTCTTTTCGCAGCGGTAATACGGGCAATACGTAAAATTGGCTCAAATATTGGCAACCAAAAGGGATATTGCGCGAGGTTGTCAAAGAGGAAGCACAGGCGTTTTTGTTTTCATTATCTATAAATAAGACTGTAAAATGCACTGAAGAAAATTTATTCTTTGTATATAAAGTTAATAGAGGTATGTACATTAGAGTGGTTCATAAAAACACTCTTTTTGGAAATTCATAAACGCTACATCAGAATATTGTTATTTGTGATAAAAAAAGAGACACGTATTTTTTTCTTTTGAAGAAAAAGTTTTCTTAGAGGTCGCGCTGGTCGGTTTTTTATAAAAACGCTGATGTTCCCAATTTTTTTATTTTCTCGACATGTTAAAATGCAGCTAAAAATGTGGTTTTTTCATATAATTACACTGGTATTATTGGGGAACTTTCCCTTAATTACACACCTGTCTTGGACTATTAGAATGGGTCTAGTTCCCGAAAATATGCTCTCGAAAAGAGACTAGTAAAATTAAAACGTTGATACTGAACGATTTACGCATTGTCATGGGTTGGAACTTGTTACCAGGGGGTTTCTGGGGTTGCTAGTTTTTCGAAATTCAGAATGGCGGATCCAAAATGGCGGTCCATTTTTTTTTATATGATTGGATTTGTTCGAAACCCGGCACTCGAGAGTTTTTGTGGTCGCCGATTACGAATCTGAAGTCAATTTTTTTGTAATTAAAAATGGCGGATTCAATATGGCGATCAAATTTAAAAAAAGTACTAAAATTAAAACGTTGATACTGAACGTTTTAAAAATTGTCAAGGGTTAAAACACGTTTCCAGTGGGTTTCTTGGGTTGCTGATTACGAATCTGATATCAGATTTTCAAAATCCAAAATGGCGGTTAAGAGCTTCAAACAAATCCAATCATTTTTTTTAAAGATGGTCGCCATTGGTATGTAATTAAGGGAATGTTCCCCAATAATACCACAGTAATTATATGTAAAAAACAAATTTTTAGCTTCATTTTAACATGTTAAGAAAATAAAAAATTTTAGAACATCAGCGTTTTTATAAAAAACTGACCAGCGCGACCTCTAAGAAAACTTTTTTTCAATATAAAAAAACACGTTTCTCTTTTTTATCACAAATAACAATAATTTGAGGTAGCGTTTATGAATTTCCAAAAGAATTTTTTTTTGAACCACTCTAAGGTACATACATACATACATAAAATGTGAAGTTACTTAAAAAAATATGCTTTTATTATTGCACTCGTTTTTACTAACTTTTTAAAAAGAGGTGCGTATGTTGTCTCCAATTCGATTTGCTATGGAGCTTTGTTCTTCCCCTCCTCCTGACGGCTTTCAAAATGGAATTCATTTAGGTTCAAATCTTCCATTCTGTAGTAAATGCAAATGTTGTGGAGTGCTCAAACAACGTTTATAATTTCACTGGATTTGAGCGATGAGTAATACAGTCCATGATGAATTTATGACTCTTCACCCATCTGAAAAAGATCAAACATGTCCCTAAATCTCCGTCTTTCAATTTCCGCATCAGTAATCTGGGACTCGTTCTCCTCTTCAAGTAATAACGCCGCGGCTATGGATTTCATTGTTATAATTATGTTTCCACTTAAATTAAGCACAAACGAAATTTTATTTTTAAATTACAATGATGTTGGATATATTTAGTTATTTTAAAATAATTACAAACTTTAACTTCATAAGGTGATATAGTTTGGTGGCAAATATTTCTTTTGTTTTGTTTCGATTTCACACATTCCTAGGCAAACAGCTGATTTCGACAGATGTTTTCTCTCTTCCTCTTTCGATTCGATCGTAACGCCGAATACCTAAGTTCGATTCTTGCGGAGCGGAATGCGGGAACGTAATTGAAATGCAGAATATGGCTGATTATAAAATACCACATTTGGTGTGAACATTAGGGTAAAGTAAACGAGTGTGGTTTCTGTTATTAAATTTATTTAATCTACCTGAATCCTGTATATTATAACTCGGTAAGGTTTAAGTCTTGTAATAACTCGCATTCGCTGAATTGGGAATAATCGTGTTCCAATTGTCTCGCGCGATCTTCTTCTGGTAAGCCGATTTTTGAAGTGAAACTTCTTAGGCGGCGGTATCGCAAAAATGGAGACTGAAATTTTTTAAACTGAAAAGGTTACATGAGTAAAAAGGAAGATAGAGTATAGAGAAGGCAATTGCACTGAAAACGCATAAAAAAACTAATTCGGAAAAAAATTTGGATAGGGTTGCCACAATTCGAAAAAAAAGGTTATATATAAAAATGGATTCCTTTCATGTGTTACCGCATCACTCGAGAACGGCTCAATGGATTTGCTTCGTTTTTATTTCATTTGTCTTTCTGTCTGTAGAAGGTTTGTAAGGAGAAAATTGGAAAAATTATGTTTCCAGATACCTGCAATATCAGAAAAAAAATAATTATAAATGAGTCGCAATAATGCCATTTCACTGAGAACGTATAAAAAAAATTAATTCAGAAAAAAATTTCGGTCGGGTTGCTACCGTTCGAAAAAAAAATGTATGTTAAAAAGGATTGCTTTCGCGTGTTATCGCATAACTGAAGGCTCAAAGGATTTGCTTCGCTTTTATTTAATTTTGTGTCTCTGTCGGTAAAAAGAATGTAAAGAAAAATTGGAAGACCGGTGTTGCCACATATTTTAAATATAAAAAAAAAAAAAATTTACATAAGCTGCAATAATGTACATTTCTGAGAATGCATAAACAAATTTAATAAAAGAAAAAATTTGAATAGGGTTGTCACCACTCGAAAAAATCTTTACATATAAAAGTGAATTGAAGTTCGTTTGTTATCGCATAACTCAAGAATGGCTCAACGGATTTGCTTCGTTTTTATTTCATTTGTAAGGTTTGTAAAGAAAAAATTGATAAACCGGTGTTGCCAAATATCTGTATTATCAAAAAAAATAATAATTTAAATAAGCCGTAATAAGGCTATTCCACTGAAAATGTATGAAAACACTAAAAACAGAAAAAAATTTGCATAGTGTTGCCACAATTCGAATAAAATCTCATGTCACGGTGTTTGTGGGCAACTGCTCCGAAATGGCTTGACCGATTTGTATGACATTTTTTGTGTATATTTGGAAATACATATATGAAATCTGTTGGTCCACCAACTTTTAAGAGCACCACCTGCCTTCTAAGAATCAAACGCTAGTTTCCAGTTGACAGTAGCTTTAAAAAACTATTTATTAAGGAGAGCAGTATTAACAAACAATTCAATTACTGGCAAATATGGTTCTTACTTTGGTTTTCCGATACAATAAATAAAGTATAATAGGCAAAGAAAATGGTAGTTCAATTCAATTTCAGCTATCGTCGCGTTGGTGTACATACACGCCGAAGGTTGTATTTTAATCGTCAATTTAAGGTTGCCACACTTTCACTTCTCGTTTTAATAATAAGGCGGTGTTGCAAAATTCTTCCCCCTGGTATAACAACCCTGGTAAGTTAATACCTTATGACGATGCAACGTCGCCGCTTGTCTCTCTCTTCACATCGAGTATCGCGATTTTTGCTACTGGACGGTGATATTCACCAGCCGGTGTGCGTATTATTGCGTACCTGACCATCCTTTCCTGCAAACGTGTTCTCCACAATGCCTTTAGGCCACGAATAGCGAGGTAGATTTGGGTCAGCAATGACTACTACGTCACCCTTTTCAATCGGTTTCACCTTGTCGAACCATTTGGTTCTCCTAGTCAGTGTCGGCAACATCTCCATCACCCACCTTTTCCAAAATTTGTCTGCCAAATACTGAGAATGCCGCCAGGAACGCCTTACAAATTGATCTACGGAAGAAAACTGGCCTAGTGGCTTATGTCCAGAGGAACTTCCCAGCAGAAAATGGTTAGGAGTTAAGGCTTCTTGTTCTGCGGTCTCTAGAGACAAGTATGTAAGTGGGCGACTATTTATAATACTCTCGATCTCTACAAATAAGTTGTACAATTTTTCGTCGTTAAGTTTTGTTTCCGGTGTCACGATACGGTATAGAACGTCTTTGAATGTTCTGATCATACGTTCCCAGGCGCCTCCCATATGAGGGCTTGCTGGGGGAATGAAAGTCCACTTCATCTCCGCGCTCGTAAACTGTTCTTGAAGATCGTGTAGATTAATTTGCTGTAAAGCTTCCCGTAATTCCTTTTCTGCTGCTACAAAATTTGTCCCGTTGTCAGTAAACACATGTATAGGTATTCCTCTTCGACTCATAAAATTTCTAATAGCCATTACACACGAATTCATGGATAACGAGTACGCCACTTCAACGTGTATAGCTCTACACGTCATACAAGTAAATAAAACTCCATATCGTTTCTCCGAACGCCTCCCAATGGTAACCAGGAATGGTCCGAAAAAATCTATTCCAACAAATGAATATGGTCGTGTATACGGGGATAAACGTGCCTCAGGTAACAAACCCATTTTTGGTGGTACTGGCTTAGCATGGTACAACTTACAGTATTGACAATTGTGACGCACTGTGCGTAATGCACGACGCAAGCTTGGTATATAAAACCGCTGAAACATTTCGTTGATTACAGTCTCGTGGTGGACATGCCTATATTTACGATGATACCATTCAATAATCAGTTGTGTAATTTTGTGGTTCTTGGGTAATATTATCGGATTTTTGACTGCATCCTTAATTGGTGCATTCTCTAGGCGACCACATCGACGTATAAGGTTGTTTTCGTCAACAAATGGTGTCAGCTTTCGTAAAACACAATGTTTTGGCAAGTTGCAACCTGGGTCACCCTTAAGCAACTTAAACTCTTCAAAATATGCATCGGCCTGCGCGAGCCGATAAAGGTGGCATTGACTCCAGTATAGTTCCTCGGTGGTTAAGCTTTCGGATCCTACCTCCGAGCTGGTTAATCCTCGTATCTTGTCTTTACATTTATCTGCAAAACGTTTAACGTACGCCATGCACCTCTCAAGACGTTCCCACTTCGAAAAACGAGTTGGATCAATGAGTGGTTGACTCTCTATATGAGCGCCAATATACTCTACGTGCGGCTTTAAATCAGCATCTTTGAAATGTTCCATGTCAATATCATAATTGTATTTAGGCCATTTTACACGCGGCGAACGTAGAAATTCTGGCCCAGAGAACCAAGTACTGGTTGGGCTAAACTCTGTGGTACTCTTCCACTTCGTGGCAGCATCTGCTACATTTAATTTTGATGGGATGTAGCTCCATTCTGTAACGTTTGTATGCTCTTGAATTTCAGCGACTCTAAACATAACAAATTGTTTGTACTTTCGTGGGTCTGATTTCAGCCATGTAAGCACTGTTCTCGAATCAGTATAAAAATACGCTTTATGAATCTTGAAGTCATGACCCTTAGTGATTTCAGTAGCAAGACGGGATCCCAGTACGGCGGCGAGTAGTTCCATGCGGGGAATTGAGATAGGTCGCAAGGGTGCTACCTTAGTCCTTGAGCTAACATGAGCAACCTGAATTTCGTCTTCCCTTGTAATCCTGAAGTAAGCCACCGCTGCAGTTGCCACCTCGCTAGCGTCCACGAATACGTGCAATTCTATCTTGCAATTATTGTTTGACATCTTACCGAAATAGCATCTGGGAACCTGAACTTGTTTGACCTGCTCAAAAAAAGATAACCACTGCTGCCACGCGTTCACATACTCTTCAGGAATTTGGTCATCCCAATCGATACCACTTCGCCAAATGTTCTGTAGCAAAATTTTTAAACGGATAGTGTAGAATGATAAGAACCCTAGAGGATCATAGACTGACATGAGCAATCGCAGGATTTCTCTTTTAGTTGGCAGCTTTTGTCCGCCTAAAATCTCTTTGCCTGCTTTAGTGAACCTTGTACTGAAGGTAAACACATCTACACTCGTTCTCCACCATAACCCGAGTACCTTCTCTGGCTCTATAACTTGGTCGATCGTTTTTCCAGCGGTACAAAAATCGTCACTTGAACCAGCATTTCCCAGTGCGCCAGCTACATGATTCGAATTAGTAAGCCATCCTCTAATATGGAAGTTGCCTCGTTTGTGCACCTCAATCACGTCCTTGATTAACTTGACAGCCTCCTCTGCGGTTTCAACACTATCCAACATGTCATCTACGTAATGCCTGTCTGTTATTGACTTAGCAGCTCGTGGGAACTCGTCGGCATTCTCCCTCGCATTCCTACTACGAACGTACTGGGCGATTGAAGGTGAACAAGTAGCACCGAATGACATAACCTGTAACACGTATGTGTTTGGATCTCGACTCGAATCACAATTACGCCAAAGAAAGCGCTGAGAATGCTGGTCCTCATCATGCACACTAATCCTGTGAAACATCTCGGATATATCACCACAAATGCCAATTTTTCCTATACGAAAGTTGAACAGTACATGTATCAATGGTCGCTGTAGATCCGGTCCCTTCTCGAGGCAGCAATTGAGAGACCTTCCCTGGTGCTCAGCTGCTGCGTCCCATACTACTCGCGTCTTATTGGGCTTGTTTGGATTATTCACCGCAAATATGGGCAAATACCATTTACGTTTAAAATCTTGATTAATTTCGTTATCGCTGAGCTTCCGGATGTATTGCTTTTGTTCCATACTATTTATTAGGGAATTTACTCGATTTTTTAAATCGTCATCTTTGTTTAGCTTCTTCTCGAAACAGACAAGTCTGCGCATGGCGGATTCAAAATTGTTCGGCAATACTATATTATCAGAGCGCCACAATAAACGGGTTGTAAAGTGATCGCCCGTTCGCGTAACGCACTTCTCTAGTATGTCTTGCTGGCTAGTCTTCTCATGTATACGTGCCACTACATGTGGTTCTAAGTTTTCAAGTTTCATGCTTTCTTTCACGAGCTTGTCGAGAGCTATGTTGTTGTCGCATTCACATACATGCAACTGCAGGTCGTTGTTTTTATAATGGTCCTGATCTGTAACGGTTCCGTACACTGTCCACCCCAGACGAGTTTTTGTTGCAGCGGGTTCGTGACTTTTTCCCTCTCTGAACTTCAGTGGCATGGCCACATGCTTGTTGTTCACCCCGATAATGATTTGTGGCACCACGTCTTTGTAAGACTCTACTGGCAGTCCCTTCAGATGTTTATACTTGTTGGACATCTCTGACATTACTAGCGTTTGCGCAGGCAAGTCAAGCTTCTTGACAGTGCGAACATCATTCAGCGTAAACATCTTGTTCTATCCCTTTGCTGACACTTGCAGGTTGATGAGCTCCGAGTCGTTTTCTACTCTAATGGACCCATCAGTCCAGCGAAGACACAGCTGACGTACTTCGCCTTTAAGTTGCAACATTTTCATAACTTCGTGTTCAATAATGGTTGGACCTGATCCGTCATCAAATAAGGCATACACGTCAACGGCGGCGTGCTGGCTATGGATCGTGATTGGTACAACCCTATACAATATTTTTGATGTATTTTGTACATGCATGGCAATCAGATTTACTTCGCCCTCTGACCCTTTGTTCATTACCGCTGGTTTGTGTAAACTAGGGTGATGTTTTGCTGTGCAGCTGTTAACACCACATTCATTACGATCCTTGCAAAATTTGGGGTTGTGCTTCTTTAGGCACGAGCGACACAACTCCATGCGATGAATAATATTCCACTTGTCATCATACTCCATTGCTTTGAATTTTTCGCAATACGCAATGAAATGACTTTCACCACATGCTGAGCATTTGCGTGCTTCGCTATTCTTGGTATAGTGTCCTCTCTCCTCTTCCTCATGGAACCCAACACGATATGTTCGACGTACTTCCTGCTGTTGGTTCACGATGGTTGGTTTTGTCATGATGGTACTAGCTGCATGTGCTAAATCGTATAGCCAAATGCCAAAGTCCGACAAATTTGCCCCAGCGATATGTCTGCAATGAACTGCCCAATCTAAGCTATATCTAGCCGGTAGCTTAGAAATTAATTCTTGTAAAAGCATTGGGTTATTTACGTGTGCCGTTAGGCCCGCAGCTTGCATTGCTGAAACCAAGTTTCTCACCTCCATTGAAAATGAGATCAATGTCTCCAGTTTATTTGCATTCACCAATGGTGATGAGCGCATTTTTTCCAAAAGGCTATTAATTATGAATTCAGGTCTACCGAAAACCATGCGCAACGTGGCAATAACTTCCGGTACCAGGTCAGGTAACAACAGTTGACTGCTCACATATTCGAGAGCCTTACCCTTTAGTGCACGTTGTAACCTAAGCAAATTCTCATCGTTACTAAAACCGAAAATTCGCGTTGAGCTTTCATAATTGCTAATGAAGATGGGCCACTCCTCTGGCTTACCTCTGAACGTTGGTAGCTCCTTCGGAATGGCATGTCTGGCTTGTATCTGTTCAGCACGCAGAGGTACCCCCCAAGATGTATCGCCCTGGTATAAATTATCATAACGATTATAGCCGCTATGACCACTGTTATCACCAAATTCACCCCCATCGCTGTGTACTTTCCTATGTTGATGACCTGTGCGAGCGGTGATACCTGTTGGTTCAAATGTGGAATATACAACGTTGTTGGAAAAAGGAAATGTTGAAGTGTCACGCTGGTTTTCTATGACTCCTTTCATACAACTGCTTGTGTTGCAAGCGGTGCTGTTAAACGTACGAAAACTTGCTACGCCATTCACGTTTGTCACACAAGAAGCCTCTGTGACATTAGTTGCTGCAACTTGTTGTTTACTGAGGATGTCATACTTTCTTGCTATGTAACGTAGATTTGCTTGTCTTTCCTCTTCCAGACGCTGCAGCTCCAAATTCATATCAAATTTGCTATTGATCTTCGAGGAGTCAGTTACCCCATGGGTATACCCCATGTTGTCCATCGGCTGTGCTTTACTTGTAGTTGGATTTGTTGTTGTTGTTGTAGTTGGATTTGTCGTCAGCATTGGTGGTTCCATATTAACGACCGTGCTATTTTGTGTACATTCATTGCAGGCCCAGGAGGACTTCTCAATGCCGTCTGAGACACCTGCGCACTGAAAGTGAAACCACTTGGCACAGTCATCACACTGAACCATTTTGCCCTCTTCGGGTTCCTTGCACACTCCGCAATCTACCTCAGCTTGTGAACGAACGCTCATTGTAAATTTTTGCACCACAAATTTTTTAAAGAAATGTTGGTCCACCAACTTTTAAGAGCACCTGCCTTCTAAGAATCAAACGCTAGTTTCCAGTTGACAGTAGCTTTAAAAAACTATTTATTAAGGAGAGCAGTATTAACAAACAATTCAATTACTGGCAAATATGGTTCTTACTTTGGTTTTCCGATACAATAAATAAAGTATAATAGGCAAAGAAAATGGTAGTTCAATTCAATTTCAGCTATCGTCGCGTTGGTGTACATACACGCCGAAGGTTGTATTTTAATTGTCAATTTAAGGTTGCCACACTTTCACTTCTCGTTTTAATAATAAGGCGGTGTTGCAACAAAATCAATTGCATACTCATGGAAAAAATTGATGTTATTGGAAAACCGAATTTTTCATGTCGCATATCTCTGGAAGCGTTCATGGTAGGGTACTGGAACTTGGTATGGAGATATATAAAATCAATTTAGAAAATGGGCGCGGGGAACAGGTCGTAAAGTGTATTTCAGGCGCTATGTGAAGAATGCGTGGCACCTCCTGTAAAAACCAAATTTTTCATACTGCATATCTCTGGAAGTGTTCATGGTAGGGTACTGGAGCTTGGTAGGAATATATATGAAGTCAATCGCATGCTCTTGGAAAAAAATTGGAGCTATTGGAAAAGGGGGTGTGGCACCTCCCATACGAAATTAATCGCATACTTATGAAGAAATTGATGTTATTGGAAAAGGGGCCTGGCACCTCCCATACAAATTATGGTTGAGTACTCGAACATATAGTAGTATAGAGATATACGAAATCAATCGCATACCCTTAGAGAAAATTGGGGATATTTAAGAAGGGGGCGCGGCGTCTTCCGAAAGGTACTGAAACTATTACCTATCTTTGGATGTATATATATATAATACTTCTGTTCGTGTGTTTGTGAGTGAATCGATTTGAACGAAGTTTTTTTGTATGAGTAAGGCCTCTTCGTAGTTCTTCAGATTCCCAGCTTGACCTGACAGGTGGCGCTGGAGTCGTGTTATTGTTAAAAATCTTAGTTATGATCCCATCTGGCTTATATTCGAGATACTTATGATGTATTGGTAACGGTAAGGGCAATACCATTGCAAAAAACAGCCGCCGGGTGACCGCTGGGGTCTAGTTGTTACTAAAAATCGTCAAGTGAGAAAAAGTGCCGTGAATGTCCGATTAAATCGACGTGCTGTACCACCGACTTTGCCGAGCTCCATTGTGTTTCGATTGGCCCAATGAACGTGATTTGCTTGCGAGCTTCATTCGGATTGAGTTGTCCAGGGGTCAATCTCAAATGACCAGCATTAAATCTACCATCAGAGCCATTGCGCTCCTTGAGAAAAGCTTTAAGGAATTTCGACTGAAATAAGTCTGTGTATATTGGATTTCTGTAGAACAACGATACCCATCAATTTTAAAATTGTCACCGACTATACCAAGATAAGAACTCGCGGGTTGACTTGTCAGTCGTAACTCCAAATTGAGTCTGACTTTATTTAATTATACAATTCTTAATCTAACCTAAGCTGCTGTCGGTTGTTGTCGCTGTCACTGCAATTTTTAGGAAGCTGTTTCCTTTTGTTTTATTTCCATAATGTATTTGATGATGCTTCGGTTGCTGTCGCTGCCGCTGCAATTTGAGGAATCTATTTTATTTTGTTTTATTTCCATAATGTATTTGATGATGCTCCGGTTGCTGTCGCTGCCGCTGCAATTTTAGNCCATCAATTTTAAAATTGTCACCGACTATACCAAGATAAGAACTCGCGGGTTGACTTGTCAGTCGTAACTCCAAATTG